ATTCATGCCATGGTGGTATATCATTGAATTGGTGTTGGTTTGGGGGGGATACAATCCCCCAAAATTCTGAAGTATTATACAAGTTTAGGATGAAAAGTCTAGCAAATATGACTTGTAGTTATTAAACAAACACTACTAAAACAGATTTACTCCATTTTTTTTGCTTTATTATCCAATGACAGAATAAAATGCTCATGTTCTTTGTGAGTGAATAATGTGGTGCTAATTAAAATCTTGTTTTTCTTGTGATATAAGAAGGGTGTAAGGAAGGTGACAAATTCTGACCCTGGAATATTATGGTCTTCCACCAGAGGACCCAGCATGTTTCTGAGTCCATGTTTTTATTCTTTTCAGAGATTCTGCAGTGGCTTTGTTATGCAATCAGCTGGGCAATACCAGAAGTGAAACCACATAGCTGAATTAGCTAGTACTAGCACTTAATTCATAGCAGTATCTACATGTGGGCCTGTTTAAGTCCACCTACCTCTCTGGCAAGTTGTTCCTACTTGTGATACAATTTTTCCTTAAATGCTTGCCTGGATTTAAAAGATATGCTTGTGGTAGCCATTTCATTTGCTGCCTTAGCAAAGAGTAGCTTATTCTAGGAATTTGCTGTTAGGTGGTCTGTTCACTAGTGAATGCCAGAGAAGATTTTCCCTTGCTTGCATTGGCCATCTTCCTTTAACCAGCTGTCTGGCTCCTGGGAAGGAATAAACCTCATGAGCCTCTTCTGATAGCTTAAGTGTGCTCACAGTGACTGAGTCCTTTTAGTGGCCAGGAACCAGCTAAGGATAAGCACTGGATTGCCATCAGCCACTGAAAAATTTGAAATGTCAGCTGGCTGTAGCTGAGTTGTAGCAATATACTTAACAGGCATTGATTGTCCCTTAGTTTGCATACTCTTGCATGTGTGTGAAGGGAGAGAGTGAGAAGGAAGAAAAAACCAAACACGCTAAAACTCAGTTGAAGAAATTTAGCTGTGATTTTTATATTCAATTTAATTGGAGTACTGATAGGATTAGGAAATAACAATTCCATAAAAGACAATCAACCTGAACATCAACAAGTAGCAGAAAAAATTCCAGCAATACTTTGTCTTTAATAGGTCTATACATTTAACTAACTTCCCATCTCTTAACAAATCTTGCTACTTTAAATGCATGTTTCATAACTCTTCTGTATTATGTTAGATGATAGACTCATTTAATAAAAAAGCAGTCCCTCAGTAACAATGACCCTCTCTGCTATTCTGTATAAAAATGTTAGGCCCATGAACTTTTGCAGATGCATACTGTCATCTTAAAAAGATCACATTTTTATATACTCTTGGCCATAATGAAGAGTTCCTCTTACTTACTGACTTTCTGAATTACACTGTCCTTGAGATTTCCCATGCGTATGTGCCAAATCAGCCTGTATATACAGTTTAGTCACTTGACGTTTTGAATTTTTTTCTTAGCTTGTGGGTTTACTCTTAGTTTGGGAGGCTCCCAAAACAGGTGCATGCAATGTTATGTGCATGCTACTGTTAAACATTCCCTTAATATTTCACATATGAGAAAGCAGCTTTTCTTTGTTCTAATGATGCTGTAATTTCTACTGCATATAAGTTGTCTAAAGGTAGAACTTCCATTTATTATTCGAAACTAATTTCTAATGGTAGGGGAAAATATTAATTTCCCATCCGTATTATCATTCCCTGTAGAGACTACCAGTAAGTGTTTAAGCGCTTTTAATCTCATGATTGTGCTGCACTTCTGTATCAGCTTGAGATGTCTGCAAATAGAGAGAGAAAAGCCAGTATTAAATTCCACTGAAGAGGAGACAAGCTCTGAAATCTGCTACAGAATTAATTCTTAAGATGGAAATTAATGGTATGTGTGTCTGTGAATTCCGGCATTTTCTGTGAGTTTCTAGTAGGCAGGATCATTACCATCTTTTCTGGAGACATGACAAAAATAGACGTTTCCTTAGACCACTAAATTTCTTCTTCATATGCATTGCAAAAACAACTATTATGGTTCAGTTTCTTTTTCTTGTGGGTTTGCTTCTTTGCTAAAACATTATCAGTTCTGAGCAATACACTGTATAGCATACTTCTAGGGCCAGACGGAATTGCTGTAGTTGCTTGCCCTGGCCTGCTTGACCTAGGCCATGAAAGGATACTGAGCAAATGTCAAGCCTAAACCTTGCAATTAAGCTATAACATCCCCTTTGGAAAAACAATTCTGTTGGGATTGAAAGGTTTCATATGATAGCTGTTGACTTTTTCATCATAGCTTTTCTGATCATTTTTTCAATAGTTCTGCTTCTGCTTGCTGTTTTGGCAGAGCAAGCTCTCAGATGCAGTTACTCTTTGGGCAGAAGCATTGCCTTTTCTTTCTCTTCCCCCTCTCTACCTTTCTAGCCAGGAACCAAGATGAATGTAGGTATGATCCATAATGGGTTTCTAGGAGAAAGTGAGTCAAGCAACCAAAACCAACTGGGTTTTGCTAGGCTGAGTTAGGTAAAGGTGCAAGCCATCCAGTGTACCTGTCCGGGAAGATGAAGACACGTGTCAGCCCCTGTATGTCCCTATGTGTGTGATGCCAGCTCTGCTTCCAGGCACTACCCTAGCACAAATTTTAGTATGTTGCTATTTTTAGTAAGATTCACTTAATTCTGATGATCTGTTCTGCCTTTCCAGCAGCTGAGCTGGAGACAGTATTTCTTCTTTTACCTCTTTGGTGTGGGTAGCCAGGCTGTACAAATGGTAGATCCAGTCACTTTATTTTTTTAATTTTATTTTTAAGATTACCTCAAAGTTATGCAAACGTCATAGAATGAAGTTGAAGAACTTGCATATAAGATCACATGTGAGCTGAATATCTGTTTTTTCTACTGAGATCCTTCACATACATACTTCTGTCTAACCACACAGCAGTTTCTTAAGTCAGCTGTTCCCTGCCCTGATTTCTTCAGACTTGGCAAACTTAACTGTCATAGAATATTGAAAGAGGAAGAGAGTTTGGTATTATACCCATGCTGTCTCGCCACTGTTTCAAAAATAAAGCATTTGAACAGCCCAGTAACTGTATGCCACTTCAACAGTAACTCTACTTTGAGACAGTTATTCAAATGTATTGCAGAGTCTGGCAATCCATATGTATTTAATAAAAATATGAAAATGATTGCCACATGACATCCTGTTGTGGTGCCACTTCGATAATTTGTCTATCAATTCAGTTTTCTTTTGTGAGTCTGAAAGCTCAGCTTTGACCTTTCAGACATTCACGGAGTAATAAGCTCTGCCTTCCTGACTGCACTGGGAGCAGTGGGTCCTCACCACCTCTAAAACAGTCTTTACTAGGTGTGTTTCAACCCCAGGCTTTACTAGCTGTGTTTAAAGACAGAGAGGGGAATAATTTTTGGTGATTTTGTTTCTTCTTGTAAACTTGTGGGTTTTGTGCTGGATGCTCAATGCTAAAAATATACCAACTATTAGCACTGACCTTCATTCTGTGGTGTAGAGCAATTGCTTTTCTCAGCATCGCATCTATTCTACAGCTGATGCTGACACTACTAGATGTTGGTAAAAGAGAATCAGCTAGCTTAAGATGTAAGTAAGACTTTGGTTTTACTGTTTTCTTAGTATGACTGCTTCCTAATTCCCACTCTTCCCTTCCAGCTATCATGTGGGAAACCCATGCACTCCTGTGATTTGACTAAAGAAAGGAGAGGCAAGTGCTAAGGTAGAAGGTGAGTCTAGAAACCATAAAGTATCAGTAGATGGGCTTACTTCTTCTTGCATAAAATGTACACCCTTGTGAGTGATTATTCATCTGACTCTTCATCTCTGTTAAGAAAGTTCAGCATTTATGTCATGTAGTTGCATTTTTTTTTTATATTCAAGCAAACAGGGACAATTTTTTGCCTCAACTAAAATTGGGAGCTAACTAAAAATCCTTCTTGTGGTCAAAAGGAACAGGACATGATAATGAGCTTAGGGCATGAAGGGCCGTTTCAGCAAAAGCAGTGCTAATGACAACATCTTAACAGTAGTATTGCAGAATAATATTGCTGTATTACTGACGGGAACAAGAGAGAGTTCAAGATGAATGATGATGCCGTGGCTGTAGGGAAGGGGTGTGTGAAAGGCAGAATGAGGGAGGAAGGGTCTTACATTTTACATTAGGGAACAAGAAAAAGGACTAGCATTTTTCAGATGTAAAATTGAGTAAATTGGAATGAAATTTTAATTGATTACACTTGGCAATTAAATGGGTGTTTCAGGCACACCAAGAGGCATCTGGACAGGCTGTATCTATGAGCTGAGGCCAACTGTATGAGGTTCAACAAGCTTGTGCTGGGTGTTGTCACTTGGGCCACAACAACCCCCAGCAGCGCTACAGGCTTGGGGAGCTGCCAGTCAGAGAGGGACCTGGGGGGTTTGATTGACAGCTGGCTGAACAGGAGCCAGCAGTGTGCCCAGGAGGACAAGAAGGCCAATGGCATCCTGGCTTGTGTCAGCAATAGCGTGGCCAGCAGGGACAGGGAAGGGATATGACCCCTGTACTCGGCACTGGGGAGGCCGCCCCTCGATTCCTGTGTTCAGTTTTGGGCCCCTCACTACAAGAGAGACATTGAGGTGTTGGAGCATGTCCAAAGAGCAACAAAACTGGTGAAGGGTCTTGAGCACAAGTGTTATGCAGAGTGGCTGAGGGAACTGGGGTGGTTTAGCCTGAAGAAAAGGCTGAGGGGAGATCTCATTGCTGTTGGTCCCAGGTAACAAGCAATAGGACAAAAGGAAATGGCCTCAAGCTGCACCAGGGGAGGTTTAGATTGGGTATTAGGAAATACTTCTTCACTGAAAGGGTTGTAAAACATTGCAACAGGCTGCCCAGGGAAGTGGTTGAGTCATCATCCCTGGAGGTATTTAAAAGATGTGTAGTTGTGGCACTTAAGGACATGGTTTAGTGGTGGACTTGGCAGTGTTAGGTTAACAGTTGGACTTGATGATCTTAAAGGTCTTTTCCAACCTAAATGATTCTATGATTCTGAGAGACAGATGCTGAATGGAGCAAGAAGGCTGCTGACACACTGTAATTTTTAGTTTAGTTTTGTGGTTTTAAGTGCTGACTATAAGGGGGTACAGTTGTAAAGCAGATAGCTATTACTACCAAATATAAAAGCAATGGAAGAACAAAGTTAGATGATACTATGATATAGCAATGTAAGGTTAACATGAGGTTAAAAAAACCCCGCACACTTGTTTTTGTATAGTAGATGATGGCCACTGTCCTTTCAGAATTAAAGATGAAGTGGTGCCAAGCACCAGCTTCTCAAACTAGCCTGTTTAGATCTAGCAACATCTAGTTAAGATGGCTGGGTATGATGCTAGTGCCAAAACAGACATCATTGGCTCATGAATAAAATGTCCCAGAAGAGAGTCCCACTGCTCCGAGCAAGCCCAGAGGAAAAGCCTGGAAGTAATCAGAGAAACAGCATTTTTCAGAGATGAGTGAAGTGAGCTACATTAACCAAGGGTTACAATGATGTCCAGCTGCTCAGACATGTGAGAGAGGACAGCAGAGTGGTCATCTCTACAAGGGGGGTAATAAGCAAAATCAGGCTTTTGCATGGTAGTACTGTGGGCATTACCGCTGGGGTACTGTGCTAATACAAAGCGATGCTCAGCTGAAAATTAAGTTCCCTTTTGTGATGCGTACATTATCATGAAAAAGCAAATCTTTACCCAACTGCAATTTCTGCATGCCTTTAAATAACAGTTATAACAAATGCCCATTCTTCTGGCAGTGATGAGCAGCATGAATCAAGCCTTGAATTTTGTGCAGAACATATGCACGCAGTTTTACTCAGAGTAAATGGACAAATGCAGTTTATCTCCTAAGAACTGTGCAAATGTCTCATTTTCTTTATTCACTGGCGTACTTCATGGCATAAAATGTCACCCCGACAGCAAGGTAAATTTTTGAAATAACTTTTGCAATATGTTGTGCCCACAGAAACAAGGGAACATATCTATGTTAGTGTATACGTTCACTTCAGTATTTGTATTTATACCTAAATGCAGTATACCTATGGTGAAATTCTAGATGAGTCATGCTTCTCTTTTTGGTTGCTTCCTTGTCCTTTCCTGTAATTTTTTTTTTTTTGGACTACTAGTCTGGGCATCAAAGATTGGGGCCAAGAACAGAAATGCCCTTACATGTTTGTTAAAATCTTTGCCCATTATAGAAGCTATTAAACCAGACTCAAGAATACCAGGAATTGTAGCATCAAGATAGATATTTTACAGTTTTAAAAGATCACAAAATGTATTGATTTATTTTTAGATATTAAGAATTAGTGTCCTGGAACAAGGTTTGCAGTGAATTAGACTAAGGTTTTTGTGCTCAGTATGTGGGTTTATGTCAAATGGTAGTCTTGCTATATAAGTACCTTATTATTAGAATATATTGTACATATTATGAGAGTATGCTTTGGTCCAAAGAAAATACCATTAAGTTGCGGATGTAAAATTTGACTGTTCTTAGGTAATTCATATACAACTACTCCTGACTCTTAAATTATGAGTATGGAAAGACAAACCTGTGAAGGCATGGAAATGTCTCCCTGTTTGAGCACAAAAGCTGAGACAGCAGTGCCATACAGCACAACAATCTGTAACACGCAACTCACTGCATTTGTGCACCAGCATTGCAGCATGTGCAGGACCCACCACTGCCTGCCACCACCTGCCTGTGGCATAGGGGGGCCTGGGAGTGACCCAGTCCTGAAAGGTGTGGGGTTTCCAGATATTTCCAGTCCAGTTTCTGCATGGGAAGAATCAACCGGAAAGTATGGTATGTAAAAGTATGAAAGTATGCCTTTGGCACATAATGGCACACTAACTTAGCTGCTTGTCCATTTTTACAAAGGTGTAATGGTCTCCTCCTGCATCCTTATGTATGCAGAGGAGCCTACATCTGCAAACTCTTAACAGAACAGCTAAAATTTTCTGTAATAAAAATATTAGTTCTCAAGAGTTTCATCAGCTGTGGAGATAAATGCTAGCTGCAGTGTTCTGCATGATACATTATCATGGCCTAGCTCTAGAGAACTTCTGTTTTGTTTTTGTAATATCTTTTTTCACAGTGCTTTTTATGTGTATAGGGTCCTTATGACTTGAGTCCTACTTGTTTCCTCAAGCTGCCTGCCTGCTCAGACTGCATTTCTGGCTAGACCTGTTGTTTCCAGGCTAGACCTTTTTCCTTCCCTCTTAGGTGTGAGGAATGGGCAATAAGGTACAGCTAATTCCCTCCTAAAGGAGAAAGCACAGAGCCAGCAGCAACTGCAAACACCTCCCAGCAAAGCTGAAGACAGAAGACAAAGCGGAGGAACAGCTGTCAACAAAATAGTATGTTTTACTCTGTGTTTGTAGCAGCAAGGGTATGACTAAGAATGCATCTCCTCTGAGGGGGCAAGGGACTTGCCTAGATCACCCTCCCATTATGGTCTGCCTTTACTCTGAAGAAGTGACCCAGTAAGTGGCATAGGAAAATAGATGTTGGTCCTTGCTGAACCATACGGATACAGTTTTAGCTGAATCTGAGATTAATTTTAAAGTTACATCCAGGAAAGAATCAGTGAGATCCTAGCCAGGTGCTGGCCTAATAAAGTAAGTGGGAGACAATCCACCCTTCTGCATTAGGCTTTCTAATGCTATCCAAAGTAAAATTTACCACTCTGGAAAGGACTGAACTAGGAATGGGTGAAAGAAAACAAGCAAAATGCTTTATTCAGAGGGGGCTGACTACGAAACAGAAGTAGAATGAAACCTAAGTGGGGCAAGGACACATCTATGTGAAGACCTGTACTTATCACAGCCACATACATTGATATGTATGTTAGCCTTGAAGTCTTAGCTTTCACCTTGAAACAGAGATTTAATGTCATAGCATTTCTGCCACTTTCCCCAAATACCTGACTATACTTAAGAACAAACAACTTAAGAAATGGGCAGCTTCACTTTTTTTTTACGTGTTGATAATCAAGTCTGGGTAGAGGTATCATTTGATAAAACATCACTTCCAGTAATGATTTTAATTACAGTAAGTTTGGAAAAGGATTTTTTTGTTGTTTGCTTTTATTTATTATAATTAGAATCTACAACTTCCTCCTCTCACAAAATTAATATGGAAACACCCACCTTGGAAGAATCTTGAGTAAAATGAACAGCAACATTATTTTTTCCTGCTGAGCTTTCAATAGGGCCTATTAAAATCTGAAATAATTAAATGATACTTTGTATGGTTCACTCCCAGAACTTTTTACATGATTCAGAAGGATTTTAAAGTAATGGTAATGCTTATCATGTTAATGAAGCTACCCTACAATACATACAGGAGTCTCCTGTTCTCTCTTACTTCTGTTAAGTTACGGTGACCTTTAGCTTCCTTCTTAATCTGGAGCCTCACTCTATTTAGCAATGCTTGCAGTCACAACACAAGGCCATACAAATCCAAATACAGGGCAAGGGCTGCCACCTCTGCTATTTTTTTAGGCCGTTTGGTGTTGGTGGGTTTTTTCTGTTCATTTTCTCAGTTACTACAATGCATGATAGGTCACAGAGTTGCTGTCAGGAAAATCCATGTTCATGCTCACGTTAGTACTGCTGAGACAGACTGGAACAGCTGTAGCAAGCAAAATAAACTACTGCTGTGCTCAATATTTTTTAAAATGAAAGAAAAGTAAATTGTTTTTAAAGAACAAAAATTTGGTGATATCTGCAAATGTGTGGAATGGCTTACCTGCCATGTAGTTTTAACAGTACTGGCTCTGAACAGGCTTACAACACATTTAATTTCTGGGCGTCTTGAGCAAACGCCTTATCCAGGTCTGACTTCTTTCCCTCACACAATGAAAAAGGCGAAAAGCAAGCTGGTTTCCTTTGCTGGCCTTTGCAGAAAACCCCGTGAAATGAACCTTAACTGTTTTATGCACAGGACCTCTTAACAAGTACACCTGTTAGTGTAACTACATTAGAAATCACTGTGGTATCTCAGTGCATTCTTGGACAATTTCCTAATGCTTACTGCATTTAGAAGAAGTTGCTGTGTCCCATAATTTGGGTATTGACACTGTGTGCCTGAAAGGGGGTAGAGCAGAAAATGTAGTGAGGTAAAGAGGAACTGTACTCTTTGGACTGAAGTCACTGCTGAGGCAGGCTCTTACTTTAGGATCTGAGCACAAGAACTTTAGAAAAAATAATTACCATGTTTAATTTTTCTTGGTAATATTCATTAACTAATAACTTTCAGTTGCTTCTTTCCTACTGAAAAAGCAGGAATGAGGTCATTCTTTTTGCTAAGTTTGTAAATTAACATTGAACCACTATGCACTGGAAAGACTACACATACTTGAAAAAAGTATTTATTTTTGCAAGAGTATTTGATGTAAAACAATAGTGTACAAAGTAAATATGTTCACAGATTTTTGTGCTTTAAATTCTTACTCTCTAAAAGGAACAATTAAGATGTTGTCTGATCAGTGGAGGAATTCATATTCCTAGGAAAGAAGAACTACACTTGACATGTCACTGTGCAAAAGGAGCAGCAGGAGGTATGGAAGACATTTTTAGAAAGTGGAAGGTCTGATGGTTCTGGTAAAAGTTAAACTAAACAAGAAAGAGAGAGAATGCTGATCTTGGTTTTTCCTTAAATCCCATCCTATCACCAGGATGACTGGTCACTTTTCACAGATTATTTCAATTTCCGATTAACTTCCCAGCCCCAATTTCATATTGGCTTTTTAATTTTTAATTTATTTTTTTAAGTTACAAACAAAATTTTAAGTACAGAGCAGTTTCATTGAATTTCAGAGATTACTAATGCTGGCCAGATTACTGGAGTGCATGAAATAGCTCAAATCAAGAGTCCTTGGCATCTGCAAACTGGGATGGTTATATCACCAAAGAGCAAAGATAAACCCCCAATCTCTTGTATTAAAAAACTACCTAAAGCCACAGTAACATACGTGTGTGTGTGTGTGTCTGTAGTTTGTTTTGTGCACGTGTGGTCTTGGTTACAGTGAGCCTCTGGAAGACATAAATATTGAGAGGTAAATGTTCTGTCAGCTGATTGTTTTAGCAGTCACATAATCCTTTGATGTCTTGGGTCAGTGAAATCCTAGTACCATCGGGGTTTAGTAGAAGATACATTAAAAGGGTTTCTCTGTGATCTTTCCTGCAATGGAAACAGCAGTAAAAGTTATTATTCTGTCATGGTAAAGGAGTATCTGTGCATTCTTGACTGTCCCATCTTTCCAAATGGAGTGATTTTTTAGGTTACCAATAGAGCGTAACTGTGATTACAGAGTTAACGATTTCTTGATTTCTAGAGCTACCACAACAAGGTCTGGAGAAGATGGGGAAGATCCACAGTGCAAGCACATTCTCTGGGTTATTAGCAAGTTACTCTGAAAATACTGCTGGAAGTCTGTTACCAGAGCAACACTGTGTGATGTGCTACATACCTACATAGCTTCCCATCTTAAACCAACAGTTCTCTAAACAGCTTTTCCACCTTAGGCCATTTAATGTTCAACATCAGGACGTCATAATATATACTAATTCATTTTTTGAGAGAAAACAGTAACAATATTTCTCAAAGGCTCTTAGAAAAGCAACACCTTTTTTTGCGCTAGGGCTCGACTCCTGTTCCTGCTGAACTGAGCCAGTGTGTAAAATGATAACTGATATCAGCTCAGTAGGCACTGGAGGACGGGTCCATTAACAGCCTGGAACAACAGCAGCAGCTCCAGTCGGGAACGACCATTTCCTGCAAATGATACACAGTGCTGAGCTACAACTGCAGAAAGATCATGACAGCATCCATTAAAGAGAAAGACTATGAAACAAAGCTTTATAGACAATTCTGGTTTAAAGTAATTTATTTCCTCTGAACGTCAGAAGAGCATGGTAACCAAATTACCATAGGCGATGCCTTACATTTGTAGTCAGACTGAGAATTTAAGGAGTGCTGTTTATTCTCAATTAAAACCAAGAGTCTTTGGTCCTCCCCAAGTCACCTCTGCCTCTCAGCCTCGGTATACTGCATCTCATATTCATGGATTCATTGTAAATCTGTCCATTCCGCAGCAAGGTAACTCGGCCAGCAAATGCTTTCTGCCCTGCACAGGCTGACATAAGGAAAGTCTCCTCTCCCCTTCTCTTCAGATGCAGAACTTAGCCACTGTGAACAAAGAGGGAAACAATCACTGTTCACAAATCAGCTAAGCTCTGCACCTCACCAGAGAGGTCTCCATCTCGGTATAGCTAATTATCAGATGAAGTTCTTCTGTGATGCGTCTGCTGCCTTCCTCTTTTTAATGCTTTAATGGACGGAGAAGACTCCACGCTGTACACAGATTGGATAGTTATGGTGAGTTTCATTACTAGCAGCTGTGGTCATGGCTGCGTGGTAATCCCTGGCAATGTGATTTTAATCTTAAATCACAAATCATCATGCCAGGAACCCAAACAGCCACAACATTAAAAAAAACAAACCTGTGTAGTCACACAAAGTGTTGTTCTCATAACAGTGTCTTTAGATTTTATAACTCACTGTGCACTCCTAGTCTGTCTGAAACATCAAAGAAGCAATTCTAGACTATCACTAACACATACATAGCATGTAATTTTTCTGTGCTAGATACTTATCACCAGAAGCTTGTAAAAATTCTGATTTTTATTTATCTGAAGGAACTATAGGAAGACAGTTCCTAGTACAGTACTACCAAAACAAACTGCATCTTCATGTTTCTGGCCTTCAGACACCTGAAGGCATCTACCAGATTAAAAATTGTTGAAAGGAAATCATATTCCTGTGGTCCTTGGTTAACTGGGAGCACACAAGCAAGTCTCTTAGCCCTATGTGTTTTAGAAGATGACCCTCCTACCCCATAACTGATATCCTAGCACTCTACAGTCTGATCCACCTTTTCCAAAATTTTCTTGGGAGGCACAGTTCTTCTCTATAAAGAAGAACAAGATGGCTGTTCATAAACAAACTTGCTTTCATGGTATCTATCATCTGCTGTATTTCAAATAAAGTAAACACCACAAAGTCAGATGGAACTGAATCAAGTACTGCTACATGTACAGGCTTGAACAGGAGAAAAATGATGATTTCTGCATGGTACCAATTAGAAAATGATGATTTTGCTAAATTAGATGCCTGAATTTTGATACCACAAATCAACTGTAAAGTTATGTGAACAACCAAGGCAGTCATTCTGTCAGACAAGTTATATCATTAAGCAAAAATCTGAGGTACACTGTACTGGAAGAGAACTTCATACCAATAGTAATTGGCTATGTTTTAAATGTACATGTACAAACACTGAAAGGTTACCTCCAGCTACCCAAATAGACTGAAAAATGGAGACTATTTTTGCAAATTGCCAGGTTTTAGCCTGCAGCAGTCTTTATTTCATTAATATTTTTTGCAATTCTGCTTTTTTTCTGGTGATTCCTCCCCATTAACTTGAGAAACAAGCTAGATTATTTATGATATTAAGCACCTTCTTCATGTTAAGACTACTCTTAGTACTTCATAATCAGTCTTCAAAGGTCCCACTACACTTAACACAAAAACATTTAAATAATCAGCTTGTTCTCACATGATTCAGATTTGCTTCCAAGTGCAGAGTTTGGTACTACCACTGTGGGCTCAGATTCTTTTCAAAGACTGTGCTGCCTATCAAGTCAACATGAAGCTTTGTTAAACAGAAATGCTCCTCGCACAACTGCAGTTTCTGTAAGCGCAGTTAAGAATTCAGAGTGGGAAACAGCTGCCGGTGGAGCCTTCTCTGGCCACTTGGACTTAAGAGTTGCCTCGTGTACAGTCCATTATAAAGTACAACAAAGCCATACTTCCTACTCTCCAACTAGTGCCTACACATATCTAATTCACTGCTCCAGCAGCTGGACTTTAACAAGATTTACTTCTTGAGCTAAGCAGGCACAAGCTTAGTGGTATGCCAAAGTTTAATACACCTAATGAGCTCTGCATATTCTTTTGTATGAGGCAAAATCAGGGTGTTTAATTTAAAAAGAAAAATCACCTCTTCAGAATAACATCTCTGCCACCACTTTGGCTGAGGACACATCCATATGGTCTCGTGCTGTAGCAAAGCATTTATGTGCAAGTTCTTGTTGTTTTGCATCTTCATTCACCATTAATTCACCATAGAGGTACACACCCATTGCCTGAAAGAGAACGCAACACACAGCCATCCTATCACCAGTAATGACTAGTTAACTGGTTTTCATTCCATTGACGTCCTAGTACTCATTTAATTAAAACAAAAACAAAACAGAGATTCCCAAATAGACAAAATACCACACACTCTATCACCCTACCCTTTCCCCAACAGAGTAGTCTTCTCTGGATCTCTTTAGTCAAAGAATGGATGGTTGTATGTTGTATTGAGTGTGTAAGAACAGAAATTAATGAGGTGTGTGTTATGTCGTGACAAGAAAATGCTTCTCATTCAATTTTTCTTTTCACAACCTGAAATATTTCCAAATGCCCCCTAAGAAAACAGCTTCCTTTATCGGAATACATATTTTCCTTCCACTTGGGACGTTTACACACACAGGGAAATAGAAAGGACATCAACCAAAACAGTCCACTCTAATATTCCTGTTTGGCGATTCTGTAACTGGGCATCAACTGAAGGCATCCAGATCTGTGTTTCAGACTCCTCTTTACATCTGAGATATGAACACGCACCAGTTTTGGTTTTCTCAGAAGGCAGGCTTTTCCTAACTACTCAGTCTGGACACAGCAGCTATCAAGAAAGGTAATGGGGCACCTGGGGGTGAGATTTAACAGCAGGTAGCAAAGCACTGGCTACCTTAACAGGAAGCATATTGGGGACTGTCATTTTTTTCTGATTATAACAATTTTTCACCTAACTACAGGAATTCAATAAGCATTAAACTGCACTTACCAAAATAGGATTATACCCATGACAAAATATTAGCAGCTTAGCACACTGACTTTTACAGTTGTACTTAACATTTGGGCAGTTGCAGGAGAGGAAAAATTTGGATAGCTTTGAAAAAACACCATTTTTAATACTATTCCTCACAATTTCTGGCATTGGCTGGTAAGTCTTAAAGCAAATTAGCTTCAGCAAGAAGGGGAATTTAACAAAGACTGAAATTAAAGGAAAAAGCTCCAGAGTGGCAGACACCTTGCCAGACTCCTTGCCAATTCTCTAAGCATGCTCTCTGCCATCCAGAGACCCAAGAACTCGCATTTCTAGGGTTTGCAGCTGTACCAGGAATGCACACAGCATTAGAGTTGGGCTCCAGTTGCTTTCACAGAGAATTTTAAAATGTTGGAATTTTGTTACAAATAGGAATTACCCTCTACGCAGTATTAATAATTTTCCCCCAAGCCTAAACATTAACATGCAGTAAACACACTGGGTTTTTGTAGACCTGAAACGGCTTTAGTCACATTTGCATTTTTCACAGACTAAAAAAGCCAAGTCTTTCATGATCAGCGAGGACACGCAACTGCTCTGTGTTGTAATCACTCTAGAAGGTGGTTGTGTCATAAACTGTATGCACTGCTGGAGTAAATGAAATGAAAGATATTGAAGATTACATTAAAAAATGTTGTAAAAATTATTCCCCTGCATAGGATTAAAATACACACAATATATATAACTCCTTATTTTAATAAATAATGTTGTTTATGGTTGGTTGGTTGGTTGGTTTTTAATAAAGACTTTGCCAGTAAGTCTGAGGCCTGTTTATTGGCTGAGATATGAATAGGAGGTGTAATTCAGAGCTGGAAGAACTAACACGAGAGACTGCAATAATTTTATTGTGCTGTTTTGACAAAATGTATTTGCCTGAGAGCAGAAAAACCTTATTGGCTGTAAATGTCTCTGTTCATTGTCAACATAAAAGGCAAAGACATTAATATCTGGCCTAGACTTTGACATATCTCGCAACATTTTCTATTTTTGCCTACATTTTAAATATGTAAGTCATCCTATGCAGTGAATGTCTTGATTGTATGGAGTTTATAGTGAATAAAAATAAATAAAAGTGAAATTAAAAGAACAAGGCAGAGGTACAATTAGAATTTTAAGTTCATAATGACCAAAATAAAAAACCATAGTCAAGATATTGTGTATGGCTACCCTTTAAGATCTTCAAAATCTGGTGCCATTTCCCTAACTGTAGAGAGGCCTGCATTTTCTGGATGTATATCCCTGCATTTTGCTTCTTTTGGATGTTGTCTTAAAATCTAAAGTCACCACAGCACTGACTGCTTTACACCTAGCTCACATCTACATGCATTAACATTCATAGCTAGACTTGCCTTTGTCATGCTCCAAAAGGAACCAATGCTGAGAATTATGTTCCTAGCATCCTTCCTAACTCTGGCTTGCATAAAATGGAAGGAGAGGAGGGAATATATCCTATTTCATCACTTACCAGAAGATCAGCAAGCCTAGTGGCTTCCTTAAACTACAATATTTAAGGGGCAAAAGAGGCAAAAACTGAATACACGTTCAAGTGCAGCAACAAAATGTATTAAAATATTTTAGTTTTACACTAAGGGTGTCAAAAAGTTGATTTAAAAAAAAATGCTAATTAAATGTAACTGACCTGATCTTCTCTGAGAAATTTCTCAACATCTCCATACCCAGGCACATACTTTTGTTTAACAACAAGTTCACACCACCGATGACGAACCTTTGGGAAGAAAAAAAAATATTAGGGGGGGAATAAACTGCATTGTATCTGTGGCAGATAACAATTGATAAACAATACATCTCTAACCAGTTTGGTTTTGTGGGAGATTTGGGATTTTTTGGTGAGTTGTGGGGTTTTTTTCCCCAGCAGCCAGGCAGCCACCTCTCAACACTGGCTGGTAAACTGGGCTCTGTGCACCTGGGGCTTAGGCTTTGGAAACCCAGAACACTCAAAGACAAACTCCTGGTTCCATGTTAGTAAACTAACCCAGATCTGGGCACAGATCTGCAGCATCTTCACCTCCACTGTTTCCAGTCTTGACTTCTTTTTCTTTAAGCTAGGCTAGAGGTTATTTCTTTTCTTGTTAGAAGCAGGGAGAAGATTAGCACTGCAAATATCTGGAAGAGCCAGAAGATATAATTGATAATTTCCCCTACATAAGTGTATAAACCAAGTGATGGAAAGGCTTAAATAAAATTCTGTACCAATATCACATCCATGCCAAAAAATGCCATGAAATAGGGACCCTTCAATTCAATGAAACAGTTCTGCTAGTGTATCTTTGCCAGCAATAGACTGTAAGCACCTTCAAAGCATTTAAACTCCATCTACACTTAAAAGCTGGGCTGTTCTACCAAATGGGCATTGACAAAACAAGTTAACAACATACTGTAATGAAAAGTATGGAAATTTTCAAGCAAATCACAACTGAAAAAATATTTGTATTTAAGTAGTGTGAACATGTATCACACTTTTTTTCATTTTGGTTGTGTTTTGGGTTTTTTTGTCTTTAAATTTCTGACTTTGCTTTTAACCACTCCTGTGGCATAAGTGTCATCTTACTCTCCTGCAAGGCTTCCTCAGTTGTAGGCAGTTAACACACTATCATTTTATATTCCATTAGTGGTTCAGCACTGATCCTAAAGTAAAACAGTTAAGTGAAATAAAATCTTCCCACCCTCCCAATCCTGCTTCAGTCTTTGTTCTTGCCATTTTTCGAAAGACAGGGCACCTAGTAACAACCAGTCTTCATAGTAAGAGTAAAATGTTAGCAGTTCTAGTATTTTTCAAAACTGAGTCCAAACTGTGCTTAAGTAACTGAACACAAACCTTTTTCTGAATGATAGTTTTACTGACATTGAGAATGGAAGGAAGCCAGAAAGCGATGGGGAGAATGTCACACATGTATATTTTTGCTTTTGGAAATAAGGTATTTGGAAATGCTTTCCTTATCGTCCTAGACCTTGATAACTGCAGCTCAGGAAAAATTTCACAGATTTATGTAATTAGAATTTAATCCTATTAGCGTAATAAACAACTGATAAATGCTCACAGGTCCTGGAAGAGTCCTTTTTAGGCACCTGATATTTCTTTCCAACTGACTTCTTACACAAAACAGTTTGAACACAGGTTATGAATGAAATAAAATGCTGAGGGATTTTGTGGCTGAGTGGAGTTTGCACTCACAGCATTGTAAGATACTGAACAGTTACAGTGCAGTGCCTGGAAGGGAATGAAAGCTGTCTCTTAAAGCTTTTTTCTGACAAAATAATAGTTGCTAAGATTCCTGCAAGTGGAAACAGAGCTCAATCTACAAAAGTAAACAGCCTTCCAAGTTTCAACGCACTTTGCTGTAGATACCCATATTTGTAATACAGACCTTCAAAACCCTACCCAGCTACTGCTTCTCCCTGGAGACACTAAGCATTTTGCCAGTAAATGTTCCCAAGCAATCCAGCCTTGTACAGGGAGTTTCTCATGGCACCAAGCAGCTCCATGCTCGGACCAAACCTTCAAGGCTCAAAAATTAAGCATACACCTCACCTGTAGGGTGAGTTCACCAAACAGAATAGAAACAAAGGTTGTGTAGCTTCATCTGATACACTTTATTCTGCACCTTCTGTTTTATATTAAAAAAAAAAAATCCTTATGTATTCTTATAGCATATATGAGAAATATAAGGGAAAGAAAGGGACTGTGGTCCTCTCTTGTGATCACAAGTCTTCTACATCTCATGGCCCAGCAATTACAGCACTTACCCAGAAGGTAAGCAACCAAGTCGAGTTTTTGCATCAGCTCAAGATCTCAACCTGTGCCTTCAGTGAGAATATTTCAACAGCAGATTATAAATTATTCTGGGATGGGGCTCTCTTCATACCTTCTGGTGAAGCTGTTTTTTACACTGCAGTTATTAAAATATTTATTCATCCTGAAGGAGGAGGTCACAAGACTCTAGGGTCTATATTTCTGAGTTCATTCAGGGAGAAACAGCGACCTGGCTCATGCCAGTGCACAATCCAGCTTGCCTGCAACACTCCTTCCCTGATGCAACCATAATAGCTGCATGGAGAGCAGAAGATAACTTCTCCCTGTGAAAGCATTCCTTCTTCTTCACATACTGATGTCGTGCATGTCTGCCTCACATTTGTAGCATGGCCTGATCATCTGAATCCCAATGGCTTTGGAAAACATGGAATAATCAAACTGTGCCTATTCCCTTAATTGTTCCTCCGTAGGATTCCTGTTCTTGGCAACTGATCTCCTTTCAAATAGTTTAAAAGAAAAATATTCATTTGTTGAGCAAAATCTGGGACAGCACACACTTTTCTTTCTCTCTTTCACTTTTTTTTGCTTGCTTTCCCAGGGTGAATAAAAATCCTGGCACCTTTCCAGATCTGAAATTCTGGCTCTTTGCTAGTTGGGGCAGAAGCTACACGTCTGTTATCAGATTACATGTTTGCCTCCTGTTTTCCAAAAAGGCCCGGATGCTCTCATGGCAGAGAAAATCTCATGGCAGAGAAAACTGCAGGATAACCCACCACTGCTAAAGCGCCTGTGAAAGCAGCAGTGCAGTCGACCCCACCAGCTCTCCTGTGTCTCATATGGGATCCCAGTAAGCAGAGCACTGAAACCAGGGCTGGCTCAGAGTGCAAGAGGGGCAGGGGGTGATCTGGACAATGCTGGCACTAAAATCTTCCCTAACGCTTGGACTGAATAAATATATATATATATATATATATATTATATTTATTTTTATATATATACATATATATATATATATATATATATATATATAGGTTACTCTCCTGCCCCCTGGGCCATGTAGATGGCCATGTAACACAAACTGCAGCTAAAGCAAACACAGTCATTTCTCAGATACATAAACTATAAAGAAGTAATTTTTTCTAGTACAATCCATGCCCTAGGCTGGTACGACAAACATGAGAATTTTATTCACATAAGAGAAGGATGGAAAAAAAATTATTTCCCAGTGTCTCATCCAATGCTTAGATCAGGAAAACTAAAACAAGCCCCACAGCTTCACAGCCTAATGTATAAGTCATGTGAACAGGCACTTTTAACAAAGGAATCTTGAAAGGAAATTGTGAAAACTAAGTAGCTTGTGGTAGGACTGAGCTAACCATACCGCATCCTGTGTATGCTCTTGTATTTTCTGTTCCTCCCAGGAGCAAATACTCAGTGGCAAAAATAAGAATTCATTAGTCCTCTTCCAGTTTTCTCTCTGCACATTTCTCTGTGTTCTGCATGATTCAGAGATGCACACCACATGTCGTTTTGGCTGGTTACACCATAAACAATATAAACTAAACCTGAAAAGTAATTTACATCAATCACTCCTGCTAAGGCTGGCAGAAAGCACATACAGCTTTGTCTGGATGTGAAGCAACACCTGTAGCTGCACCACCCTCCCACACACTCTTACTGGTTTGGCAGCTGCAGAACCCAAGTTGGAAACACACTTTATTTTCTCAGCCCCCAACACCATGCTGAGAGCTGTCCTGATCCTGTGGCTAATGGCTGGTACTCCCGAGGATGGGGAGAGGTGGCTGGAGGTTGATGGAGGTCTGCTGGTACCTCAAGTTCCTCATGAATTGATCCTTATTGCCTGAAAATTGTTCTTTCCTCCCACGCTGCTTTTGCAGCTGGTGCAGACAACTACATTACCACTCTCTGCTACCAATCCTAGTCTGTTTTCAGAGTATCCAAGCTGTTGCATGAGCTTATTTAACGGAAATAAATATTTATATAAAATATACTAATAATCCAGCTCTAAGACAGTCCCCTTTGTTTTAGGAGTCTGGAATAAGACTTCTTGGGAAATGGTGCTTGAAGCTGACTGACTTCTAAGGCATCAAATTCATGGCTTGCCTTTCGAAAGAAGAGCTCCCAGTGACACACCTGAGAAACAGTATTTTTAAACTGTTTCAAACATGTTTTAAATTAAAGTCATAATTTTTGTTTTTTTCTGACCCAGGTGATAAATTACTTTGCCTAATCCATATTATTCTCCCCTGCCCCACACAATCAGACAAGCCTAAAACAAACATCCTCACAGAAAGCTTTGTATGTTATATTGCAATGATCTAGTTTGCTGATGTTCTCAATCATATGTGTACAAGCAAAAAATAAATATTTTACTTCTGAGGTCTACAAATAAGATTTAGAAAGCAAGTAATTTAAACCATGCCTGTATTAAAAGGAGAAAAAAGCTACAGTTTACTAAGCCTTTGGTCTGCAGAAAGGAAGACTGGCTTCAGGGAAAATGAGTACATTTTGCTAATAGCTGGATCCAATTTAAAAGGCGCCATGAGACAACAAATCTAAACCACTGAATAAAAGCAACATATTTAGAGATCTTAGAAAATGGGGTAATTTAAAATACAGTAAGACCTATTGTCCAACAAAATGTAACCTTTATTAAAGGTAGGAGGCATATGTGATCTTTATAAAACACAGGTTCAGACTCCATTGAAAAAAATTATTTGAACAACTTGAATCTTAAATATTAATTAAAGAGTCTCAGAGGCCAGACTCTAGTCTAATTTGTAGAAGAAAAAAGACAAAGAAACTTTTTCAAATAACCAAGCTATGCTATACAGATTAGTTTTAATTAACAAGAAGGAAGCTGCTATCTCCAGAGCACCAGAATGCTGTTCTGTTCCATCTGAAAGCAGTTATCTCCAGTCTCTTCCTATCTA